AGATTAACTGAGGGTAAAGATATTTTCCTTTTTTTTTTTGTAGATTTTATTTATTTGAGAGACAGAGAGGGAGAGAGTGAGCAGGAGGGACAGGGAGAGAGACTCTGAGGCAAACTCTGGGCTGAGTCCATCCCACGACCCCAGGCTCCATCCTGACCCCAAGATCAGGATGGATGAATGGAAACCGAGTCAGATGCTCAACTGACTGAACCACCCAGAGCCCCCGAGGGTAAGATATTTCTTGCACACTATTTCTCAATTATTAACAGTTACTTTTCAAGACACAAATTTCATATTATTTTTAAATGCAATAACCTTAGAACAATTTTTTTGTCTTGAAGCATTTTGTACTTTTTTTTTTTTAATTAGTCACTAGATTTAGAGATAAATGAATCTGCTCTGACCAAAACTGGAATAAGGAATTGAGAAAGCCAACCTCTGTCTTTCAGCAATACCTTCCCCACTTCCTGCCATGGAGGCATCTAGGGACGAGGTTCTAGAACCTTCTAGGAATTACACTAAAATACAGATTCCCAGATGTACTCCTTGAGATTTTGAATCAAGTGTTTTGAATCTGCATTTAAATATATTGTACGTATATATAAACTGACAGTGGCCCCAATCACCATTTCAAAAAACTTCCAAAAGGCTTCTGTGAGCACAGTTAGAAATCACTAATCTGGAATATATTTCCCTAGACATCTTTCCATATCAACAATGAAGTGTGGAGAATTTAACTTTGACTGAGGGGATGATTTTATACTCCAGATAAAACTTAATATTAAACCTTGTTTAACCAACAGATGGGCATTTAGTCCAAAAAAATTTTTAAAAATTGACTTAAGGGCCAAGAACTCAAGACTTTGCTCTCCTTGGCTTGTTGCAATAAAAATAAATAGTAAGTTGGATCAAACAAAGTCTCCTTCTAGGAGATAAAAACAATTATAAATTTAGCTACAAACCAATTTACATGCTATGGTAAAATTGCTGAAGCTAAAAGACTAGGCTAATTAAACCAAATCTGGAGGTCAGAGTAAAGAAGTCTGAGATCATATAAAACTACAAAAAGGGAGTTCAGTCAGTTGAGCACCCAACTCTTGGTTTCCACTCAGGTCATGACACAACAATTCCAAATCTACAATATTCTAAACATATTTAAATTTGAATTAGCTTCAAAGCCTAGGTGTTAGGCAATCCAAATATCTTAATTCAATGTTAAGCAATTTAAAAAAATTCTCAACTGACTAGGACTAATGTTCTTGCTGAGTTCCCCAGTAGTACCCGGTATGCGAATGGTTATAAGCTCATTTTTCTTCTGAGTTTTTTTTTTTCTTCTTTACTACATTGTGTTTCTTTTTCCAAAACACTAAGAAAATAACTTTTCAACTAAATGTTCCCTGTCACTGTATAAGTTAAAGGAAATGGAAATTTCACCCAACCCCAATCTCAAAAGAATATGCAAATCGCAACTGATGGTATTTACACTGAAAGCAATTTACTTTATTTCACCGGAGTATCGCTGAGAACAGTTGATTTCTATGTGCCTTGATTTCAATCCTAGGTAAAAATCACACTTAGGTGCCCTTCGTTGGGCCTTGCGGAGCAGAGTGTAGAAAGAATCCATTCGCCAAGCCCTGTGCCAAGGCTGTGGCTGCATGTCCCCAGCCCGAGAAAAAGAGATACCTTTTTCTAAATCATATGAAAGTGCTGAATAAACCAGTGGTACTCTCCACAAAGTGAAAACTAAAGATATAACCCTTTCTTTAAGCTACATTTCGGATACTTAGGCTTATGAGGCCATGAAAGCGTGAAGACCAAATGGTAGAATGTCCCTTGGAACATCGCTTCTTTTAGTTTTTACCACAACATTTTCATCATGAATCACACATATTAAGATGTTATCTGAGGGGCACCTGGGCAGCACACTTGGTGGCATCCGACTCCTGGTTTCAGCTCAGGTCATGATTGCAGAGCCGTGGAACGAAGGCCCGTATCAGGCTCTGCACTGGGCGTCAAGTCTGTTTGAGATTCTCTCTCTCCCTCTGTCCCTGCACCCCCCACCCCCAATTTCTCTCTATATAAAATAAATAAATGATTTTTTTTTAAAGTTGTTATCGAAGACTTGACTGCACAATGAAAGCTTCCTGACATATTCCCACACCACCATTACTTTCCTAGACTTTATGGCTTCATTAAGTATATGAAGTGAGAGAATATTTTGAAATATACTAATGTGCTCTTTTTCTTTTGCAGTTCTGATTTTTACCAACCTGAGCCTGAACCCATGTCTGCTTTTAGGAGAGCTGCTATCACAGAATGTGAAGACGAAGAAAGAACTGGTCCAGAGCTTTTTGATTTTCAAAATTGGGTTCTGAAAACTATTTCAAACACAATGGGCTTAAAAACCTGGCTTTAAATTTCTGGAGCCAAACATCTGAGAGAAGAAAAGCATTTTCTAAGTTAGAAAAAGCTTCCCTTTGAATCTTGGAACACTGAAAAAAATAAAATGAAAAAAGAAAATAGTGAAAGAAAGAAAGGAAGGAAGAGTGAGCCTCCCTTTAAATATAAAATAATAAAATTTGGAAAATGGAGCTTGGAGATTTACTATAAGCCACTGAGTAGGATGGATATATGATGCATAAAAACTACTCCTTAGGACAAAGTAAAAATGTCAAACCTTCCTTGGCTGCAGAAGGAGCCTAGAGAGAGGGGAGAGGACAGCTAGGGGAGATACAAGCTTTGGGACCATCACTCCCTTTTCCAGATTCATTGTTATGTAGAGCACATCTATTAAACATTATCTGACTACTGAATATTATTTAGGGACACCTAGGTGGCTCAGTCCATTAAGCAACTGCCTTCAGCTCAGGTCACGATCCCACAGTCCTGGGATCGAGCCCTGCATCAGGCTCCTTGCTCAGCAGGGAGCCTGCTTCTCCTTCTGCCTCTGCCTGCTGCTCCCCTTTCATGGGCATGCTTGCTCTCTCTCCCTCTCTCTCTCTGTCAAATGAATAAATAAAATCTTTAAAAATTTTTTCTTACTTAAAATATATTTTTTTTCTTGCAGCCTATAATTATAAAGCACAAATATATAGGTTCTAATCATCAACTAATTCACTCAACAAATAATTATGGAGATTCATTATGTACCAGTCATTTAGAAATAATGCAGTAAAGAAGGAAGCCGCAGACCCTGTGATTCCTCAGAGACTGAACAGTCTACGTTGGGGATGGGCAAGGCAAGGAGAGAGACAAGGAAGTTAAAAGCCAACTCTTACTTTGCTTATAACATGCTACCATGTTTCTATTCATACCTTTACCACATAAAAGGTAGATTCTAGTCTGCCTTTTTCTTGGTGGAAATACAGATTATTAAGGCAGCGTGGTTTACTTGGATGTGCCAGAGAAACTTCCTGAAATTGCCCTTTGCTTTTCTTTTTTTTTTTTTTTTTTAAAGATTTTATTTATTTATTTGACAGAGAGAGATCACAAGTAGACGGAGAGGCAGGCAGAGAGAGAGAGAGAGAGAGAGAGGAAGCAGGCTCCCTGCTGAGCAGAGAGCCCGATGCGGGACTCGATCCCAGGACCCTGAGATCATGACCTGAGCCGAAGGCAGCAGCTTAACCCACTGAGCCACCCAGGCGCCCCGCCCTTTGCTTTTCTATGAGTCAGAAGCAGCCCACAGAAAATTTGTAGACGGAAACCTCCACAATTCACTGCCAACTGTTGAAAGTGATCTAAACACTCGGTCTTCATATCTGCCACTCTATATACTTTGGGCAACATGGTTGCTAATGTTGAAATCAAATGATGGTAAAACTGGAACCATTTCAATGAAATAAAACAAAAGAGAGATCAGGAAACCAGAGTAAAAAAGTCAGCCCAGGAGGTATTACGGCTCTCTTCAAGCACCAGGTCATGTCGGCCAGGGCAACGACGGACAGGCAGCAGACACGCCACTGTTAGTTTTCTTTGAAACAGAAGCCACACAAGGAGAGCTCTTGAAGGTGTGAAGGCATAAAGGTTTTGAAGACATTCTCTGTAATATAAATGGGGATCCCCTTGCTGTCTTCAGTAATACTTCCATGAAACCCTTAAAAGGAAAGAATGACGGGTGGGATCTGCTAAGAAGGAAGCACTCAATATATATGTGGCCTATAAAACAGGGAGAGGTGTAAGTTATGAAGCCTTGAAAAGGAAAGACCAAAATAAATGACAATGAAGATCAAAGACTGGAAGAGGAGGGAAAGGGGCGAAGAGAAGGAGGAGCTAAAAAAAAAAGAAAACAGATAAAAGATTTGGACAGGGGAAGGAATGAATAGATAATTCTATTTTTTAATTTAAAAAAAATTTTTTTTAATTTTTTAAGGAGGCTTCAAGTTCAACATGGGGCTTGAACTCACGACCCTGAGGTCAAGAGTCACATGCTCTACTGACTGAGCCAGCCTGGCATCCCTGAATAGATAATTTTAAAACAACATATTAATAGTACTTTTCAGTGAGTAGTTATATTACAAATTATTTTTCTTATTTTTCTTATATTTTCTTTTCTCTAGTTTCTATGACTTTTATGAGCATTCACAGCCTTTTCTATTTTTTTTAAGATTTTATTTATTTATTTTGAGAGAGAGGACAAGTAGGGTAAGGAGCAGAGGGAGAAGCAGACTCGAGTGGGGTGAGGGGCAGAGAGAGAGGGAGAAGCATACTCTCTGCTGAGCAGGGAACCCACTGTGGGGCTCCATCCCAGGACTGCGGGTTCATGACCTGAGCTGAAGGCAGACTCTTAACCAACTGAGCCACCCAGAGGCCCTGATTCACAGCTTTTTTTCAACTGAATGGCTGTATTTTTTTTTCTCAATTTTATATGAAAGAGTACACTTAGCCCATTTAGTCTGTAATTTCATCATTCATTGGCTTAGGGTAAGACAGTATGGCAAGAATTTGGGAACTGCTTAACACATAGTTCCTAAGAGACATGTTCAAAGCATGTGGTCACTTACGTTGTATGATCCACCAGTGGCCTGTGATTTTCTTCCCCATGATGAATACTGATTCCATTACCAAGTCCCCATCTGAATGTGTTTGAATCTTGAATTAGGTCTTCTGGGATTGGCTGGTACCAATGACACAGGCTGCCTTTTTCAAAGCTGCAAACTTTCGTAGCTTGAATAGAGTAGAACGAAGACAAATGAGCTAATCACAATAAAGCGTCCACAAAAGGTAATTTCTACCTGTATCAAGCACTTTCTTACTATTTGTTTTTTTAATTATTTCTTAAGCATAATTAAAATAATTAGAAAAATGATTTCTATTATCATGAGAAGAGTTTTAAAGAAATCTATGTGTACTATATTCAAATATCTACAGCAGCTATAACATGGAAACACATGCATATACTGAAGAATTTGTTCTGATAAGGAGATGAGATTTTAATTAGGTCCTCAAATAGCAAAATCGGAATTCCAAGTCTCTTCTAAACATTGCTTACCAAGTTCTGGTAAGTCTGTTCTTCTGCCATAGTATTATTACAAAGCTGAACTTCAGCTCAGCCTTTGAAGGGGTTAGTCTAAATTCCAAACTCCTTAAGTTCAAAGCAATAATATTTTCCTTGAAAGTTTTCAATGTCCTTGTAATGACTGTAACTTGATATCACATGAAATTACAAGTCCATGGGGCGCCTGGGTGGCTCAGTGGGTTAAAGCCTCTGCCTTCGGCTCCGGTCTTGATCCCAGGATCGAGCCCCGCATCAGGCTCTCTGCTCAGCAGGGAGCCTGCTTCCCTTCCTCTCTCTTTGCCTCCCTCTCTGCCTACTTGTGATCTCTGTCTGTCAAATAAATAAATAAAATCTTAAAAAAAAAAAAAAGAAGAAATTACAAGTCCAGTGATTTGTGAAATACATAGGCTATGTGTGAAATGTTCTTTCTTCCTCTCTGAAGATGTCCGTGTGTCTGTCTTAAATTCTCCACTGTTCCTATGTGTGCTGTAGAAGACTCCAGATTTTAAATAGTATAAGCAATGTTGGCAAACCATCACCATCTTTTAGGAATGTGAGTTCATGATTTAACGTAAAGTTTGAGAAGGAAACACTCCATCAAAAAAAAAAAAAAGTGATTTTTAATCCTGACATTCAGGCATGTCATTTAATCTCTGACATTAATAGTGATCATATAATTATATTAATCTTGTGAAGAGATTTAAAATTGTTTTTTTTTTCTACTTGTTTCAGAGGTAGAGTTCAGTGATTCATCAGCTGCATATAACAACCAGTGCTCATTCCATCACCTGCCCTCCTTAATGCCCATCACCCAGTTATCCCATATCCCCACCCACCAGACATTTAAAATTCAATAGGATTCTGTTTTTTATATCATTAAAAAAGAAACTAGTCATTGATTTTTTTAAATTATAGGGCATAGGGGCACCTGGGTGGCTCAGTGGGTTGAGCCTCTGCCTTCGGCTCTAGGTCATGATCTCAGGGTTCTGGGATCGAGCCCCGCATCCGGCTCTCTGCTCGGCAGGGAGCCTGCTTCCTCCTCTCTCTCTCTCTGCCTACTGTGATCTCTATCTGTTAAATAAATAAATAAAGTCTTTAAAAAAATATTATAGGGCATAAAGTTTTAGTCAAGCAAGACGAATGAGCTCGAAGATCTGCTGTACAACATTGTACCCACAGTCAACAATAATACATCATGCACTTAAAAATTTGTTAAGAGGGCAGCTCTCGTGTTGTGTTCCTTATAAAATAAAAAGCATTAAAAATGCAAGACCATAGGTAACAGACAGATTTATTATATAACAGCTCTTCTTACAAAAAGATGGAGGAAGAAAGACCACATAATTTGAGAGTAATAAATGCAGTTCATGTGTATTCAAAGTAAATTAATAACCCCAGGATTTTAAAATAATAATTTTACAGGAGACATTCATTCAGGACATTTAAAGAACTTTATCAAAACTGCCTACCCAATCATCAATGACATCACTAAAATTGCAAAGGTGAACAAAGAAGTCAGTATTCACTAAAGATATTCATTAGGCGGAATTAACTCAATTCTGTGTAAACTTTCAGAAACACAACTTCGGTGTGATCAAAACAGGATATGGTCTTCCCACAAGGAAGTCTGAATACCACAACACTTTCCGTTATATTATCTCCCATCTGCAATGCACCGTACGTATCCCTAGCCAACTTGAGTTAATGACTATGTTGTCTCATTCACAGAGTGAGTTAGCTTTGATTTTATGAGTTTTGGGGTCTAGCTAATTTGTTTAATTGATTGTGTATCTATACATTAAGAAGCATTTCTTTTTCTATGTTAAATTAATATGAACCTTATTTGGCTTTTCAAGTTTTAGATTTTCTGCATAATGCTGACAGAAGATAGAAGAGAGTTCCACTACACTCTGTATTATCTGCATGGTTTGAACCCTTCATATCATTAAGACACTTGAGAAATATTACAGTATAGGGAATTCATATACCATCCAATAAATAGTAGGGAAGGGGAAAAAAAGCAAAAGTGTTCACTCCTTCTGAGCTTGTGCTTTGCCCCTGCAGGCACACAGATCAATTTTTTTTTTCCTCTAAGATTGTATCTCTGGCTGAGAAGTTCACTTCTAAATTAAAAATCTGCCCTAAAAGCCAGAGATTGGCAGATGCCAATAAGTAAAAACCATCTTTCAACAGGACACAGGTGCTAAAGGGCCCATCTGTATTAGAACTGGTTCTTATGAATTCTACATATTTAACATAGTATTAATTTTCTATTTGGGCAATGGCAAAATTTGAACAAATTCATCTATTTTGAGAGTATTATAATACTTCCATTTTAAGGGTGCCTGGGTGGCTCAGCGGGTTAAGGCCTCTGCCTTCGGCTCAGGTCATGGTCCCAGGGTCCTGGGATCGAGCCCCACATCGGGCTCTCTGTTTGGCGGGGAACCTGCTTCCTCCTCTCTCTCTGCCTGCCACTCTGCCTACTTGTGATCTTTGTCTGTTAAATAAATAAATAAAATCTTTAAAAACAAAAAAACTTCCATTTTAAACATTCCTATTTCATGAGTGTGAGGAATAGAAGAGAGACAAATGGTGGAGGCAGGAAGTGGATAAAAAAGAGCTAGTCAATCACAGTCCCAGAGTCAAGTAAAGTCCATGAAACAAGTGTTTTGAATCTAAAACTTCAATTTAGAAACACTTACCTCTTGCTGAGCATCACAGAAGAATGCAATGCTGACTCTTCTACTATAATTTTCTATACAAGCAACCTTTACGTTTAAGAACCTATTCTAACCCAAGTCGAAAATTTCTAACTAGGACATGAGGCCATGCTACTTAAAGATCATATTAGTATTGTCTTATCCGTCTTATGCTATGTTTTAATACAAAACAGGAATTCACCTACCACAGAATGATTCATCTGACTGGTCGGAACAATCATTTCTAAAGTCACATTTCTGGATTTTTTCAACACAGTGACCATCGGACCTGCAAACAAATTCATCGTCTGTACAGTTGTGTGGAGGCAACGTTACTGGAGCTGACACTTCTGGTGGAGTTGGAAGGTCCACTGGCAAAGTACCTTGGTAAGGGATAACATACAGGCATAATTCAGTAGATTCTCCATTTAAGATTTGACACAATAAGCTTTTTTAAGTACGTTTCACATTCAATATTATAAAGAACATTTGGTAGTCTTTGGTAATATGCTGAATTTCACATAAGCATAGAAGTTGGGAGTTCTCAGTCTTAGCAACAACAAATAGTTGGATATAAATAGATGAAGGTACAGAGAGAAATTACTGAAAAACTGTTCAAAACTCACTGAATAAATGGGAGGCTCAAGGACAGGGCTGGGATTCCTGGGAATCAAGGGAGTCCCAGATGCTGGCATTAGGAACCAGCATTAAGTTCTGGTTAAACCGTCTAGTCCACCAGGTAAATAAACATGGCTCTTCCACTGCAACAATTAATCCAGCAGCTCCTCATCCCTGTTTCACCTGCCCTTACATATTCAAAGTTGCAAGAGGGAGATTCATATGCAAGTATTTATATAATTAAGATAATAATTTCTGAAATTACAGAGCTGAGAAGAAATTTATAGAAGCTAATTTATTCTGTAAGTTAGTCAATCAACATTTATTAATAACACCCCGTATCACAGGCATGGTAGGTGCAACAGACTGAAAGCCAAAGGTTTTCATTGCTGTCAAATAATTTACTGAGTAGTGGATAATGCACTCAGGTCAATCTTTCATTATAGTTCCATAGGATACATGTATGAGAAAGAGTATAACACCGTGGAAGCAAGAAGGACACCTACCCTTTCACTCCTGCATTCACAGCACAATTCACAGACCGCTGTACCTGGTGGGGGCACTATCATCACTTAGAAATGAGTGAATAGACAGACAGATGGAAGGATGGATGGATGGACGGATGAATGGATGAATGGATGAATGACAGAGGGAATGAACAGATGGACAATTGGAAGACTGTACAGTGTATAGAAAACACATGAAAAGCATACATTAGTTGGGAGGTAGGGAAGACTTCCTGGAAAAATAATGTCTTCAGTTTTTAGCTTTATTATTTTAAAAGATTTTACTTACTTACATGAGAGAGAGACAGAGACAGAGAGCAAGAGCATAATGCACAAGCAGGGGGAAGGGCAGAAAGAGAGGGAGAGGGAGAAGCAGACTCCCCAATGAACACAAGAGCCCCACACAGGGCTTGAACCCAGGACCCTGACTGAGATCATGATGTGAGCCAAAGTTGGACGCTTAACCAACTGAGCCACCCAGACACAAGTTTTTAGCTTTAAAAGATGAGGTGTTGTAGGCGAAATGAAAATGGGTATAAGCTCCTTTTGGACAATGAGCAAAGATTTGTGTGAAGGCAGAAAAATATACTGGCCCATCGTTTTTCAAACGCTGTGAGAATTTGGCATGGGGAACATCTTGTGATAGAGTAAGAATGCATGCGATTAAGTCACTAGATGTGGAACTAGTTGGGAGACAATTAGCACATCATAAAGAGCTAAGTGGGACCAATTTAGGAGTTTGAAATAAATATAAAAAGCGGTGGAGAAATGCCAAGGTATACAATCTCCACTTTAAGAGATACTTTTCTGGCATCAGTGTGAAGAATGATTTGCAGGTGGTTCTGACAGGAACAAGAACAGCTAAGCTTTTACTTTAATTCCAGGCAACTAATAAACCAAAGCAGAGAGAGTACGGAGGAAAAAGCAGAGACCTGAGCAATGTCAAACACCCAGTACCTAGAGGACTGGAGATTTGGGTGGTATTGGGAATTTGAGGAAAATCCAAAAAATACTACATATTCAGCTTCTCAGCTCAAGTTTTGAAATAATTAAGAACTAATAAGACAAAAGCATATAAGACAAATCAAAATATCAACATTTTATGGATGAAGTTAATAATGATCTATTATCTATAGTCAAGTGGTCTTTTAAAGCATAAAACTCAGAAAGAAACAGCCTAAGTTATAATCTGTACTGGAAACTTCCAGCTCTCCTTGTACAGAAGGAAGCCTACCGTTGTGAACTACCACAAGAAGTTAAGCAGATCTCATTCTCCCTTCAGCTAACTAGCTGGAAAAAGAAAAGAAACTAAGGCAACACGTACACATGCTCTGGCCCTCCTTGCAAACTCGGCAATCCGCTCTGACTTCTCCACGCAGCTGATATTAGGGTTCACTCTTAGGTTTTACTGCTATGGGTTTTACCAAACGTGCAATGATGCATCCACCATTAGTGTCACACAGAGGAGTTTCACTGCACTCAATTCCTTCAATGTCTGAGTCCCTGGCAACCATGGATCCTCTTACTGTCTCCATAGGGTTCCCTTTCACAGAGTGTCATACAGCCAGCATCGTATGTTACCTTTTCAGATAGGCTTCCTCCTCTGAATAATGGCATTCAAGTTTATTCCAGGTCATTTCAATCACCTGACACTTCATTTCTTTCCAGCACTGAACAGTATTCACTGCTTTAGGGCATTCAATTAAATGAACACTCAGTTAAATATTTATTGTATGAAGAGTCTGTATCTCTTGTCAAGCAGGACAGGACCTTAATATACCTTCCTTATTAGAAAGTATTAACGTGCACTGCAATACCCATCGCTGTCCATTTCTTTTTGAATCTTTCTTTGTGAACACATGCCAGTGTTATTTCCAGGACAAATCATCTGAAATGAAATTGCAGTTATAGGGTATGTGATCAGTCAACTTAAGCAGTTGTTTTCAAAAGTGATTTTACACATTTCCACTCAGAAATGTGTGCATTTCTCATATTCTCCGAATCCAGCTAACACGTGGCATTATCCAATGTAAGAAAGATCAACCAGTGTAATGGGTCTGAAATAATAATTCCTTCATATTTTAACTTGTATTTCCCTAATTACTGAGAATTTTTTTTTTTTTTTAATTTTAGGGGCTACTCAAGTACCTTGCCCTCGCTTTTGACTAACTGTTCACATCCCCTGCTCTTTTTTTCTATTGCATTCTTTGGGTTGTTTTTTCTTATTAATTTATAGTTTTATTTCCCATATACTCTATACTAATCCTCTGTCATTTACTTGGGTGAAAAATACATTCTACTAGTCTATGATAGGTCTTTTCATTTTGTATGGTTTCTTTCAAAATAAAAATTTCTAATTCAATGCCTTCCAACTTATCAGTTATTTCCTTTATGGTAAGTAGTTTGAAGCTTCACTGGAAAAAAAAATTCTTTCCTCCTTTTTTCATCATCAATATTTTTTCTGTGATTTTCACAAAATTTTGATAGTTTTACTCTTCATATTTAGGTCTTTACTCCATCTGGACTTTATTGTTATCTGTTGTATATGATATGAACTTAATTAAATTTTCCTTATGAGTGTCCATTTTGGATCTACTAATCTATTGAGCAACTCAAAATTTTCTCACTTATTCTATATTTGATCATGAAATGTATTACTCATATATAAGAATGGATAGAAAACATATACCTGGTTTAAATAGTAATTAAAAAGAACAGCCATAAATCTACCATCCAGCTTATGAAATTAAAAGTCACAGCTTTTGAATCCTCCACTGTTTCCCTGCTGATCCCATGCCACCATCCCTCCAGGTCTGCGGTATGCTGAATCTTGTGTTTTACATTCCTGTTTTCATTGGCTCTTTTCTGAAAGATTTTATTTATTTATTTTTAGAGATAGAGAGCTCATATAGGGGGAGGGCGCAGTGTGGGAAGCAGAGGTAAAGAGACAAGCCGACTATACCCTGAGCAGGGAGCCCGACATGGGGCTCAAACTCACAACCCTGAGATCATGACCTGAGCCAAAATCAACAGCTGGACACTTAGCTGACAGAGCAACCCAGGCACCCCATTTTCATTTGCTTTTATCATTTTCCTCATTTGCATATATGCCAGATAATCTAGAGTGCCCATTAGCTCATCATGTTACTAAATGAGCTGATGTCGCAAACATCTTAGAACAGTGACCACACAGCTGGGATAGCACGTAGGTCCTTCTTGAATAAATAAACCATTTAAATTTGAACTTGGATGAATGGACTCATTCTCTATATGAATTTTGGCAACTTGATTTATTTCCTGAGCAATGTGCATTCACCCATCCATGTTAATAATGTTCTTGCAGTTCACATATTTTGACTGCTGTATAAGATTTCACTATGTGATCAAATATATCATTTAGCCATTCTATCATCAGTGGGTTTTTTTTTTTAAGCTGATTCTGCTTGAGGTTTTATTTCATACATTTCTCCTGATGTTTCTAGGAGTGGAATTGCTTAGTTGGAGAGAATAGAGAACTTTATGTCAACTTTACTAGAAAAAGCTGAACTGTTTTCCAAAGTCACTGCATCAATTTCCATACCTCCCACCAGTGTATAAATATTCTGATTGTGTGGCGCACACATTATCCATTGGTATATGCAGATTTACGCATGTGTCTGCTACTTCCTCTGCTGTCTATTCCCTTGTGCATCTCAGCCCTTGGTGAGCTCATTTCATCTCTGTCTGATGCTCACATTTACATAGTTCATCTGGTAAGAGTCTGGTGAAGTAAAGTCTTCTTTTGTGTATTTGCCTTTTTTCACCCTCATTCCTGGAAGGTTTTTTTGCTTGAGGCTAATAGTTATTATTTCTCAAGACTTTTAAATTCAATTCAACTCTCTTCTGACTCTCATGCTTGTTGTTATAAAGTCTGTCTTGAGTCTAATTGTGGTCTTTTTGCAACTGCATTTTAATCTCTGGCTATTTTTAACATAATCCTCTCTTTTCTTTGTTGTTTTTCTAATTCATTTCCAGGAGTCAAGACCTGGACATATTCTTACTATATTTTGCACAAGGTTCACGACACTTCTAAATCTGTGCCTTTTATTAATTTTAAGCCAGTACAATCTTTGAAAATGACTTCTCCATTTTCTTCATTCTCTTTCTGGAACTCCAACAGCTTTTATAATCAATCCTTCAAGTAAGTCTACCCCTCCATTTCCCCCCTCTATCTCTACATATTGCACTCTGAAATTCTCTCATACCTATTTTCCCACTGG